TTGTTGTCGACATCTTGGTTCTGAATGCCGGGGTGAATACCGTGTCGGTGCCAATTCTCAAACTTGGCATCGACCAATCGTGGAGAGAATTCGAGACCAACGTCCGCGGCCACATCCACTTTGCCCAGAAATTTTATAACCAAAAGCATCGTGATGCTTCCAAGCAACTAGTATGGCTACGTCTTGCGCTCTTGTCTCTGCAGTTCAAATGTCTGACGCTCAATAGACACTCGTCAATGTCTCAAGCGGTGCAATCCACGGTTTTCAAGCGTCCGGGAGGGTGCCTCATTGTAGGTCATAATTCTTTCTATTGCCCTCACCCTTCGGAGCCTCCAGAGATGTCTGTCTGACAAATGGATATCCGTGTGGCTGCCCTGCTACACATCTTCCACGAATTCCTGCCTCATCGCCGGCCACTATTGCTAATATGAATGATAGACAGCTTGACGAAGAACTCTGGGACACTTGCGATACAGCAGATTGCAAAAGACGTTGATCCAGAGGACATGCAAGTCGTCAGCTTCCATCCAGGGCTGGTTTTCACCCCCATGTTAGTATTTCTTAAAGCATTATCCCTGCCTTGAGCACGGTGGGCCGCGCGCGACTTTGCTTCATAGTTCAAACTCGCCCCAACGGTCCTATTTAATTCATTTTGGATATGGCTAATGCAGGAAACTTACAGGGGCGAGGGTCTTGGTGTTAGCAAGGACGCATATCCTTGGGACTCGGGTAAGCACCATTAAGCCCTAATGCGCAGAGCTGTGCTAATATGAGGTTTCAGAGGATCTCCCTGGACATTTCTCGGTGTGGGCTGCTTCTAACGAGGCTAAGTTCCTGCACGGTCGGTTCGTGTGGGCTACATGGGATGTCGATGAGATGAAGGGTGTCGAGTTCCGTCAAAGGCTGGAAGAAGATCCGAGCTTCTTGAAGATTGGCGTGCATGGCTTATGAATGTGAGATCGCTCCCTAAAAGGAATCTTGTACGCTTCTCAGGGACAGTTCCTAACTATATTTTGAGTACTTAACAGAACCACAGATTCGTAGAAGAATATATTGACCTAGATATTGGTAGCTTCAAATCATGCTTTATTTATCAAGATAGGTCGAGAAAAGGGCCCAGAAGAGCCCAGATTCGAGTGATCAAGCAAGGCTCTTACGGTGGACGGCAGAAAATTCGTACATGAGAGTTACTAATCACGAAAAGAAACAAGGGCATCGTTCATCATCCAAGAACACTGAACGTTAGTTTGGTCGTGGGAAGAGATGCGGTACCACGTGTCATAGTTTCCACCTAAAGGCAGGGTTCTTCCAGTCCAGATCTTCAATCTGGCCCTGATCCAAACCGGCCAGCTCAGCATCAACGTCTTTGGCATCTCTTCGTTTGTTGTCTGTTTTCATCCACCACCACGTTGCCGTAGCCACCAATAGCCATGCGGAAGACGTAGCTAAGTTGAGCCCATTGCCAATAGGATAGTCCGGGCCATCCCACGACAGAAAGGACCACTATGGCCGAGGATTCCAGCTGTCAGTATTTCTTGTGCGATAGAGACCTCCATCGTGGAGCGGAATGGATACCCACAGTTGCTATCAGGCTGCCGATATTTGCGAAGAACATGTTTGTCCCTATCGCCATAGTCCGGGCGCTATCGCTGACCACATTGGCACTGACCTGCGAGTGCGTCAAGGCGCCGGCAGTGAAAGCAGTGCTTGCAATAAAGAACATTGCTACATAGCGCGCGGTTGCATCGCGAGTTGAAAGGAATACTGCGCCAGGACATGGTTAGAACTATCATGCCATACAGTGGGGAATTGCAGTACGCACTAATATAACCAATCATCACCATTGGGGCCCCTATGATCAAGTACACCTGCCTCGAATCGGTTTTCCAGCTGGCGAAGCACATGATCAGCATACAAACCGCACCAACCCTAGAAGAAATAATGTCAGTTAGCCACTAAAGAAACAAGCAGAAGCGCTCTAAAGGGTCCTACAAGTATGGTGGCACTGTGTAGAGCTGCTGCTGTACTACAGTTTTACCCGGATATATCGTCCTCACTATTGTAGGAGCAAAATATGCCAGCCCGTTGACGGTTATCGTCTCCAGCAAGAAGGTCAAGGCAGTCATGAGGACGACCGGATTTGCGACTCCACTCCAGAGCTTTTTCGCGTCAGGCTTATCCAGAACGGATGCCACGGATATACGCTCGGATTTGATGCGGGCAATGGCAAGGTCCTTTTCCTCCTGCGAGAGCCAGCGTGCCGTTTCCGGCCGATCCGTAAGGAAAGCAAGGCATAACAGGCCCACGCAGACCGAAATAATACCCTCGATCACGAAGATAATGCGCCAGGAGCCTCCAGGCAGGTTGCCGAAGTGCGAGATCGAGAGAATACCGGAGGCGAGCAAGCCTCCAAAAGCCCCAGCTAGAGGTGCCATGGCGACAAAGATGGACATCCGGAACGTAAGCCTCCACATAGCACTCCAGTCAGCACTCCGCTTCTGTCCTTTGCCCGGGTTATGATTCCTAGAACAGAGGAAAGGGGAGAAGGACTCACTCAGATCGCCGATACCATCGTGACAAATAATACTTGCAAATGTTAGCATGCGCAGGCTCTTACTTTCAGACCCGCCTAGATGCTCTGACGGAGCACGATCCAGATTCCAGCCTAGTTGTTCAAATGACTAGAATGAGACAATATAGAGAACTCACAGCTATGCCAGGCATCATGCCGGCCTCGAACATCCCTAGGACAAACCTGACGCCGGCAAGCTCGCTAAATGAATGAACATAGGCAGTGCCAACTGAGGTAGCCCCGAAGCCTATAATGAGGATCGGGAGATACCAGCCGGGTCCGACCACCTTGCAAACATAATTTGACGGAATTTCGAACACAATATACGGGATGTAGAAGATGCTGTTCACGGCGTTGTAGTCGTTGCCCTGGAGACCTAGGTCTTTCTCGAGCCCAGCCAAGCGAGCATTGCCTAATACGCGTCGTTAGAGATCACTCCACTAGTAGTGAACACTGAGATATACATCTACATACCTATGTTTGCGCGGTCGATAAAAGCAAACTACGTCTGAACGTTAGCATATTCTTCTGGGAGGGAACTCAGAGTAGGTCGGGGGGGCAGAAATGAGTCTCCAGATATGCGCCATCCGCTGCCTGAAATTACAATCGAAAGTAGATTCGAGGAAGAGGAGCCGCATATGTTGATACTGACCAAGAACAAGAGAGCCGCTAGAGGCACGACCGCGAAATCGATCTTGAGACGCAGACGGGCCTCTGCTTTGGAATCAAAACTCGCAAGTGCAACACCATATCTAGTAATTTGTTCGTCAGAGACGTGCATTGCGCAAATTATCTTGGGCGTTTTCACTTGTCTGTTGCCGCGCGCCCCTCCTGAGCAAGACCTTGGGCGTCGAGGTCCAAGGTTTTCGACCTGGCCTCGGTGCCAGTGTCATCCGTCACGATTGCGACTGGCTTCTCCATGGCGTGTGCGTCCGTAACCATTGATTAGCGATGGTCAGATTGGAAGCAGGGATGCTCCGTAGCTGCTGGGGGATGGTTGATTTATGCTAAAACCCGTGGCTATTATTTACCAACACATGTTCCCCGTAAGGTGCGGCCGCCAAATGCAGCGGCCCTTGTTCGTGCCCATGCATATGCAATGCACGCACAACGTCCCGGAACAGGACATATTCAGCTGTCACGAAAATTAGAGGAGAGTCTTGGTCGCCTATACGTGGTCAATCAATGTTAGGGTCCTCCACTTAACGGGCCTTGGCAAGTTGAATTGGATTCGCTCACGAGGGCACGGTCTACCATGGGCCAGTAAAGTCTGCGTCGTTATCGCACATTGGGTTGCATTCGGCGGGTGCTGATTCAGCGATCATCTCCCGATACTTCTGGGGTACAATACTACCGTATCCTAGAAAAAAGCCTATATTCAGAGACGGCCGTGCTGACACGCAACCCGCAACTAGCCCCAATTGTCCGCGTAGCCGTGCTATTCGTCGGTAGGGGCTTCAGTTGCCCATTATGTCTTTGCGCCGTGTTAGCGAGCAAGATTTGCTTACTATTCCGTGGCCTCAATGGGACGTATGGCGCCTAGATGTTCGTCACCGATACAACTCATAACTATATATGTATGCCAAGGGACGGTTGGGCACCTACCATCTTCCCCCATTAGGAAAATTATCCTATTATACCAGGACACATAGCGGACTCGTTCGGTCAGGGATAGCAGATATCTCACGCGACTTGTAGATCCTCCGTTGATAGGGTCTAAATAACGGAACCATATTTTGGCAGGGATCTTGCTCTCTGCATTGTCGTCGATTTACCCCTACCAAAACGGCTGTAGGTCGGGGTGTTCCCACGAGCAAGACATCACAATAAAAAGCCTGCTCGAACATAATCATAACAAAAGAAACCTATCAATCACAAACATGGGAAGGGCGAAGAGACAAGGGTTCCAACAACCCGGTGAATTTAAGATGAATGCCAATTCTAGTAAAATAGAGAGACAGGGGAAGAAAGTAACGTGCTCTCGGACCTTGACCTCTACGGTAGTAGTCAAGTATGTCCACCCCGGTAGACTAGCGGGAGAGGTACAGAATATAGGCTGACAAAATGGAGGGGGAGCTAGTGGCGAGTGTGGCCTCAATGCTGCCCCACGCTGACACAGCGTCGCTCGCCACGCCATAACAAGACCATACTCCATAGTATCATCTAGCAGGTCCAGGTCCATATGTCCCGTACTGAACCGACCTCAATCAGCCGGACCAGTGATCCCTCGAGATATCCATGCTTTGTCTGGGGAAGGTGGATATGAATAATATCACAATAAGCGTCACAATAAGGGTTAGGGTTGGCTACGGCCGAATCAGCTAGGCCAATTGGTTTCGGGGCTAGGTGATGTTGTCACTCCAATTCCAAAAATGGATAGTTCATTTAAAAAGCTAAAATTACATGTCAGTAATAAATACCTACGATTGGCCAGATGGCGGAGTGGTTAACGCGACAGACTAGAAATCTGTTTCCTTCGGGAGCGCAGGTTCAAATCCTGCTCTGGTCGAGTTTCTTTTTTTTACTTCTATTATAGAAGCTTAATCCCCTTCTTTCTAACCCCGAGTCATTCTTTTTGAACCGATAAATTGTGGTCTGTATACGCTGAATAATATTGTTGGAATAATATTTTCTGTAATTTCCTTATATGCCTTCGTGCCCAAATTGGATATTACGGAGGTAAACGCCTGACTCCGAGCACCCAATTCACTACTGCGTAGTCTTCAATCCAGCCCCTACGGAAGACCAGGATCTAGAGATTGGCTCGTTTTACCTCTTTTTAATTCCGCCCAGTTTCTGACAGCGTATGGCTTCGAGGCTGGTTTGGAGCTTAGTGGAGCGGTTCTAGTGGGGGCTTAGCCCCCAGTTCCCCGCCACAGGCAGTGTTTAGTCACGATAGCAGCGCCGACAATTTGAGGTCTGGCTGCAGTGTAGCAATAGGAATAGCACTAAAGATGTAGGGCCAAGGCGGACAGCAGTCTATAAGGAGTGACTATGGTAGGCAGTTCTACTGAGCAAGAACAAATCTCTGCCTCCCATCTGGGCCTCTTTAAGTTGGTGTGGACTGGAAAGATCCGCGACTTGTTTTAGTTACTCCCATGATGGAAAGTTTGTTGAGCCAGGCTGATGGTAGCCGAACGGTAAGGCTAGCTGCAATGTAGAAATCCGAGAATTCTGCATGGACTGCCTGTTAGGTTTCTTTGCTTTTCTTTTCGAGGGAGGGACTTGCTCCCACAGACGTGAAGATGAGGTGTATGAACTTACTAGTTCAGGTCAACAGCACGCTTCTCCTCTGGCGAGCGCTTGTCCCAGCGCTTCTCTTCCTCTGGCGAGCGCTTGTCCCAGCGCTTCTCTTCCTCCGGCCAGCGCTTATCCCAGCGCTTCTCTTCCTCCGGCCAGCGCTTATCCCAACGCTTCTCCTCCTCCGGCCAGCGCTTATCCCAGCGCTTCTCCTCCTCCGGCCAGCGCTTATCCCAGCGCCTCTCTTCCTCTGGCCAACGCTTATCCCAGCGTTTCTCCTCTTCCGGCCAGCGCTTATCCCAGCGTTTGTCAGCCGATGGCCAAGCAACGGCAGAACTAGCGAGAACAGCCAGGATGACTCCAGCGGCGAATTTCATAATGTAATATATCGCTAACGCGGATGAATTTAACGAGGTTTGGTTATGTAAAAAATGGAGTTGAAGTGTAGCCTCAGGTAGCGTTTTCTTGAATCTGCGGTGACAAGATAAAATTCATATTCCTTTCAGGAAAGTTGGAGGGTATTTATACACTTCTTCTCGGATGGTCTAGACCGTCGGACAAAGGCTTCGTGGAGTAGATGATCGTCTAATTACCGATTAGGTGACCTTGGACTACTACATCAGGAGATATGAAATCAGCCAGTCGGGTGTCTTCGGACGTAGTTGTCGGGCATGCACTAGTCCGAGTGCTGACGACTTTGGTGCCAAGATGCGAGCTTCCGAACAACAAACATACAATTTATGGAAATTAATCTTCAACTGGTCATAAATTTCGTAGCATTTTGGAGCTGTTTGTCTGTGTACCGAAGCTAGACATTGCGGGGGCGGATACTCGGCACATCGTCGAGTTGTCTGACGTTATCGACGCCCAAGTCGGGCCTGCTTATATTGAACGGCGACTCGCCATCCCAGTAGACTTTGAATATCCCCTATCGAACGACCAACCGGCTCGATGCCGGCGCCTCCCCTGTCGTGTATCACTTAGAAATGTTAGCTACATAAGGAAAGAATTACAGACATGTTGATGTTGTGCGAGGTTCTTGACCAGCATGAAACATCTCGAATCGGCAGGTAGTCAGATAATTTTTGGGGCGTTCAAGTGTAGGCGGCGCGTGGATCTATCTACTACCCTAAATGTTGCGAGAATGGAGCGAGACATTATCCCTTCCTAAAACTTCAGAGGGAGCTCATGCCCCGCCCCCCAAGAAAACACGCGCCTTTCCGTATCACTTTTGCTTTCTATATTATCCCTCTTCATATTCTCAACAGTCTCACCTTGTGTGTCCTTTAACCAAACCTGTGTGTTCTGTCTTGGCCCAGATCTTCCTGCGATTCGGATGACCTACACTTAGAGCCACTGTTTCAATGTTTTCTAAGGACAAACGCCGCGTGGCAATGGTGTCTCCGAGAGATACCGTGTATGAGGAGCTTCTCCAAGCCGAAGAACCTTTGCCAGGACATTTTGATCGAAAAACTCTCCACTTCGGGCTCTCGCCATTCGAGAATATCCGCGCGTTGGTTTGGATCACCATCAACCTGGTAATACTCTTGGTACTTGGATTTGCAGTGTTAGTCTTGTACCATTATCCTCGTGACTTGTCTATGAAGCTATATTGTAAGTCCAAGATACGATATTTAGTTGGTGACTAGGCACTCATTAACATATACTGTAGCGCCTGCCCAAGACGTCGTCAAGTATTTTGTTACGCAACCGCATGACTCGGTTCATAATAAGAATATTTATATGAACCTCCTGCCGGATGGGTCGCGGAATCCTGACGTCGATGAACGTTGGGAAGCCCTCTACGCCCGTAAGATACTTTACCTGCACCAAATCTGCGTGCACATGTTGTCTGACTCGCAGTTCTGAAATAGCGTACATGGCCGCGGCCATCACGCCGGAAGAGGCGAACCGCCTCCCATCTAAGACAATGCGCCTCCCTGGTAGCGACAATGCCTACGTTATTGAACTTGAGATCTTCCATCAGCTCCATTGCCTCGACTCCATTCGACGCTCGCTATTCCCTGCGACCGGCCATAGTGGCGGCGTGAAAAGTCACTTCGGGGACGGAGACAAAGATGCACATTTGCCGAGCCATCTTGGTATGTTCTACTTTTGCCTTGTATCCATATACCTAACGTACATTTACCATCTCATCTTCCTTCGACATTGATTCACCTATCTCGTCCTTCCTCATTCTCTCGCGATCCAAGCCGGTGGGATGTGATACCACGGCGACCACATGGCAATTGGAGCTAACCCAAGTGCTCTGATCAGATCATTGCCTTGATTGGATCCGCCAAGGTCTTATGTGCTGGGTGGACGTCACCCCAGTCACTTGGGAGTTCGATCCGGAGCTGGGATATCCGGAGACACAGATCCCTCACCAACGTACGTGCCGTAATTGGGATAGGGTGACAGCCTGGGCTGAGACCCGAAGTGTCCCTGAGCCACCGTTTAAGAAGCTTGGGCCGTTCACACCGCCCACAGAGGACTACTGATCCTTGATCACCTGGAACATGCGAAATGGATAATGCGAGATAGTATTACGCCTAGTCATTTAGCTACCTAATCTTCTTTGGAGGTTGACTCTTAGTTTATGGTAAATCACGAGGTGTTGTCTACCTAGCTATTACGATACCGAATGGTTCTTTTAATAGCAGATACAAGAGTGTAACTTTGAACTGGTAGGCCGACTCTAAGACGGTTCGGTCAGATGAGGAAATACATAACTGAGGTTATATTGATCCGCACTCCTAGGACGAGATTGCCGACGAGACCGGCGGAACTTTACTCAACTACTAAACCTACCGACACTATCGTTAACAAGGTAACTTCATGGGGCGGCATCTATTAGAGCAGCGTCGTTGGTATTACTAGCTTTATGCCTTTAAAGACTTTCTAGGTTAATCTCTCGTTCGACAGTTATTACCATTTTGATCGCCGGGGGTATATAGATGTTACTTCTCCCGTGTTGATTGTAGATGCTCCTGAGATCGTATCAAAAGTCATCCGGACCTCAACTGACCATCAGTTGTCAAGAGTGTTTTGTGCGCGGTCCAACCCCAAAACCCTCGAGTCTCACCCCACGTCAGCAGCTGCCATGGCTGTGGTTCGGTTGGAGAGCGGGGCGAATGAGACGCGACGACCCCGCGCACCTCGAACTTCAGCGCAGACTATCGGGACAGTTTGCAGTAGAGCCGCGTAGGTGTGAAAATAGTATCTATAAAAGATAAAACAGCATGTGAAAGAGGAATCTAGGCGGTCGGAGCCGTGATCGTCTTGTGTTCACCCCCAAGGGTTGTGGGTCTCTTGCAGGGCAATAAACGCTGTGACAGCACGCCCATCACATTTCGGACCGCCCCACGATACCCCGGTACACCTACGACCGCACTCTCTCCTCTTTGCCTTTCTCTACAAGGGCGTCCAGTTGCTTCCAGGCAGCCTCCGCCACGCTGGGCACGTCAACGTGCGCTATAAACCCCTTGCCGTTTGGCCCATAGCCATCCTCGTCGTCTCTTAGCCTTGGGATCTCGCCCATAAGCAAATCCACAAATCGGGACATGCTCCAGAGTGATGCGCCTTGAGAGTCGAAGCTCGCGAATTCGAGCGACGACCATATGTCGGTAGCCTCGGGAGATTCTCCTCGAACCGCTACCCTTGGGACAAAGGTCGGCCAGCTGACGAAGCGGGGGGGCGAGGCGTGGTCCTCGTACACTTTTTCGAACGACGCCACAGTCCGCCTGCACATGGTGGGATCTTGAACCACGATGACGGATCGTGGGGAGTGAATCCCGAACGTCTCTAGTACCTTTCGTGACTCGGATGCATTGGCTCCGCAATTGGTCGATCGATCCTCTACCACGATCCTCAGGCCGCTCTGGCTCTGAGGCTCTTGCGGCGGGGCGTCTAGCACCTTGAGTCCGAACCACTGTTCTGCTATCTTCTGAATCACCCGAGATTCTGGCAGCCCCTGGGCGGCATCGGCGATTTCCTTGTATCGCGGATGCTTTGCGACTGCCTCGTAGAGGAAGGAAGTAGAGTGCCCAACGCCGCCGCAGAGTACCAGCACAAGATTCCTCTCTCGTCTACCGGAGCCCGGCATGTTAGCGAGGTTTCCTCGGTAAGGTATTCAACTTACAGGGAAATTTTGGCCGGGTCAGAGGACCCATCGGGTCCCGTAGTATCACTAAGGGCCGTAAAGACCGTATCGGCGATGCTGAGGACTGCCGAGGCGCAAAACACAATGACATCGGTGGGTGTCGAGGC